ACCAAACAATCTCATAAAGGCGCGGAAAATAGAAGAATGATGATGAAAAAACTACTTAAATTTTTGTGATTTATTTTTCCATTTTCACTACGCCTCATTTTAATGGTATGCATAATATCTGAGATGTAACAATATTTTTAAATTGCTTTCACCCGATTATAATACATCTGATCGTCACGGAACAACAATCCGAGATTGAAATGTCGAAAAATATGCATACAAAAAATTTTGAGCAATATTTAATGAAGTCCCGCCCTTATTTATACACTCCTGATTGAAATCTTGGAATTATTTCATTTTCACTGCATTGGGCATGGAAAGTTTAGTGCATGTACCAAATTGCATCTTTTTATCACATGGAGTTTCGGAAATACTCAAGAAATATCATCTTCAGGCCGTAGCTACCTTAGGAGACATTTCTCGGCTCATGTTCATTGAATGTTTTCTTTCTATTTTTGTTCGTAAAAGCCGCTAGTGAAATTTAGCTACAAATTCGAAAAGATGTAAGTGTGTACCTATCAAAAATATTTGTAATCATGCCATATCTATTACCTGTACACAATATATACATTCAATTGAATATGATGTTTTTTTTTTTCGTCAAAGTTGTTGATTCCTTCACGGACATCATATGGGTCTAATAGTAGGAGATTTCCACCGTCATCTGATAACAAAATAATATATGTCCCAAAGGGAAGTAAAAACATTCTAGTTCATCGAACGGCACCTGAATCAATCACTATCCTGAGCAAAATGAAAAAAAAAAACACTTTCCTGTGGGAAAATTTGCACTCGATTTCGCGATTTGCTAATGAGATAAGAATTATGCCATCCGATACCAATTGAATGGTGGATCTCAAAAACCTACCTGTGCTACCCCTTAGTCCAGGCATGTGCAACCTCGACAGGACTAAGGGCCGGATTAGAAATTAGAAAGATTATGCGGGCCGAAGTTCTTTGGGATGTGAATATAATATGGCAATGTATATAAATCAATACATCTTGATAAGTTTAAACTCTTTATACCTTCATATAAAAACTCATCATAACATTTATGAAAATATAAAATATAAAATTCCTTAACTTGAATAGAAAGGAGGCACTTTTCAATGCGATTGTTGCGACTTCATAGTTGACACAAGATAGTCAATATTCGGGACGCGCGGACGTTGAAACTCGCATCGTGTTTTCCAGGTGCGCATATGTAATACGCGTCCTGGTCTTGGATTTCACAAACTTCATCCTTGAGAAATGTTGCTCACATTCATAGGTGCTTCCAAAAAGTGTAACTTCCTTCTGAGTGAAAGCTGTCAGGTTTGGAAACTTGTCACGGGGGAAATAATGTTTATAGAAGTCTATTATGGTAATATCCTTGAATTTTGTCTTCAGAACAAAGTTCTCTTGCAGTTCGATTAATCCCATTTGCAAAAGAAAGTGGAGCTAGTTCTACTTCAACATCAGAAGAAGAAGAGAAAATTCTCAAGTTTGCTTCTTGGATTTTATAATCACAGAACCAACTGTCGAATTCTTGATTCAACGATTTCAACTCATTCGCAAACGACTCGCAATCGAAATAATTTTTGTGTTTCGCAAGGGTGAGAAAATGGTACGTGTTGCCTTCCCTTAATTGGCTTTCTCAGAGTCGTAGCTTATTCTGAAATGATTTGATGTGTCCATAAAGCTTATGAATCAACTGGTCCTGCGTTTGTAACTTAGTTTTGAGTTCATTAAGATGAGTTGTTACGTCGACAAGAAATGCAAGATCACATAGTCGGGGTTTGCTTTCTAGCTCCCGAATAGGTTTTCCTTTCATATCCATGAAAATAGATACCTTTAAAATCATAAAAACGCTTCAACATCTTCCCCTTACTCATCAAACGCACTTCGCAGTGAAATGTGAGATCTTCATGCTCGGAATGGACGTCATCCAGAAATTCTCGAAATTGGCGGTGATTTAGCGATTTCGAATTGATGAAATTCATGCAAGAAATTATCGTGCCCATCACTTGTGCAAACTTGATTGATTTTGCACACAAATTCTGCTGGTGTATTATGCAGTGAAATATAGACAAATCTTCAATATCGATGTTGTTATCAGATAACTCTGATTTTATTAGTGCAACAACTCCTTTGTTTGATCCAATCATTGATGGAGCCCCATCGGGAGATATTCCGCTCAGCTTTTCCCACTTTAGGTTGAATCGAGTAAACGCCTTTTTTACTTCCTGGAAAATGTTGGTTGGAGAGCTAGCAATTCTTTCGTACAATTGAAATTGGCATCAACTCCGTGGATGAATATAGCTAACTGAGCGGTGTCAGTGGTGTCTGTGCTTTCATCAAGAGCAATTGAAAATGCTTCAAATTTTGAAGCGATTTTCGTAATGGTTGATTTTATATCACTGGCCATGTCGTCGATACGTCTGGTCACTGTCCAACGAGGAAGACTTATCTTTTCATATTCATTGATTTTCTCAGGACGAGGCTCATCAAGAGGGTTAGCGGGCCAGATTCAATGATATTTCGACAATTCGTCGCGGGCCGTACAAATTCAGTGCGCGGGCCGGATTCCGCCCGCGGGCCGTAGGTTGCACGTGCCCTAAGGCTTAGTCTTAGCCGAATCCACGGCACAGCGATTTATTTTCTCTTATTGTTCCGGGCATACTTCCGTCATGTGATAACGAGTTGAAACAAGAAGCAAATAAAAGGGAAAACTTTTTTTTTTGCAAATATCCAAACGCGCCGTGATTCAAACTGATATAAGTTTGTGCCAGTATAGAGTGTCAATATTTCCGTGAATATTTCGCCCTCGTGGAAGGATAATATCCGATGGACCAGTGTGAAGCTCATGTGGTGCTGAATTTCAGCAGATCAGGTAATAAGAACATGTTGTACTTGCAGTGCTCTTGCATACACGTTAACCTGACTTTTGGCTCGAAGACGCCATGTGTCTCCAACCGTGGCTAAGAGGCGAATCATCGAACACAAAGCGAATTTAACAACAATGAAAATGACCTCGAAGACCCTGATAACCCATATTATGTCGTATCGGAATCATCTCCTTTCCCATATGCTGCCAGCTGGAATTAATTACTTTACATGTGACATATGAAATGCTGGATCAGAGAAAACGTCGACGCAGAGGGAGGAGCTAAATTCGAATTTCCTCTTTTTAAATGTGGAAATATTATTTTACTAATGTAAAATGAGTCTTCTTCTTCTTCTTCTTCTTCTTCTTCTCTGCACAGGTGGGCGGGTGCGTAGACCCCTGCACTCAGGCCTCTTCAGTCGGGCCCATTGTGCGCCCACTTGTCCTGTGAATCAGCTGGGCATGCCGATTCCCAGTCTGCTGATGGTAAGGGACAGCACTCTGCCAGTTCTGAATTTCAATAAAGCTCCGCATGTCATTTTTCCTACAAGAGAGGAATGGACTGGCAATACACCAGGCTTGCTTTCTGCCAACGAATCAACCTGGTTCACGGATGGCTCAAGGTTTGGTGGCGGGTCTGGTGCAGGAGTATATGAAGGAGGAACAGAGAAAGGAATCTCAGTACCTCTTGGCAAATACGCTTCAGTGTTCCAGGCCGAAGTGTTTGCAATCCTGACGTGTGTCCAAGAAAATTTCGGCAGAAGTGGACGTGGACCAGTCACCATATGCTCGGATAGTAGAGCTGCTATTATGGCATTGAGATCCAATAGGATCACAACTAAATTGGTGTCCGAGTGTAGAAGTGCCTTAGAAAATATGGCAAAAACTAGGAAAGTCAGCCTCATGTGGGTTCCAGGACACTCTGGTATCCCGGGGAACGAGGAGGCAGACAGACTAGCCAAGATCGGTTCAGGAACGACACCCATTGGACCAGAACCGATATTGGGAATACCCAATAGTACGGCTATGTCCTTCATGAAGGAAATGCTACAGAGGCAGTTCCTTGAAACATGGTGGGACACACCAGGAATGAGACAATCAAAGCTCCATATAAAGGAACCTTCAAAAAGGCTCACGAGAGAGATCCTGTCACTTAATAGAAGGGATCTCAAGATGGTAGTTGGGCTCTTAACTGGGCACAACCACCTCAACAGGCACCTAGAACTCATAGGGATCAAAGATGATCCCATCTGCAGATGGTGCTTGGAGGATGATGAAACATCATCACACATACTCACTGAATGCCCCGCGCTGGTGCATCAGAGGAAAGCTGCCTTTGGGAGCATTGTACTGCACCCAAAGGATGTGAAAGTGACTCAGCTGAGGAAGCTGCTGAATTTCGTAAAATGAGTCAATGAGAATAAAAATACTCGAAGTCGGTCGACCGACTTCGCAAATATATTCGACCACTGATTATGGATGATTTCTATGATTTGAAATGAGAGTAGTTCTTATGAAAAGAATGGTTACAACTGAATTCAATGTTTAACGGTTACATGTTCAACTGTTTTTGTATACGATCTCAGTAGCTGTTTTTTTTATGATTGTATTTCTTGTTCTATAATAATATGTAACATAAATGAAATTAACCTATAATTCTGTTTCCTTCTCTCATCATTGATGTTATGAAGAATTTATTCTGTTCGTTTCATTCCCTGGTTGCTCTTCATTCAAATTTTTGACTAGAAACTCAGACTCAATGTTGAAAAGCTGACTTTTTCCCGCCTCACCTCTGAATTTTTTCATATTGGCGTGTATAATCTCTGATATTGGTAATCTAAGATTCGTTGACGAGCTAGAATTAATTATCAGGTGTTTTTCTAGTGATCTGATGAACTAAAGTTAAAATTAACTACCAGAAAACCACTAGATTTACAGAAATTTTCGCCTGCGACGCTTTTTCTATTCCATCAGATTGTCTTAGTGGTTTAAACGTGGCCATTTTGAGACTTTTGGAAATCTCTCATCAGTCGATGCATATCTCCAATAAGTACTTGATAGTGCCAGCTCACGTATAATCTTTGACATTTTCAGAACTAGCAATAATATTAATAATTACATAATTCCAAACAATATGACTTCCAGTTGTGGTGGATTCCGCAGTCTCAACTATATTTTGTTTATGATTGGGTAAATGATGGATTCTGTATTTTACATTGCGTTGCATAGGCATACGTGGTTGAAGTGCATGTATTGGCATTTCATCTCTGTTGGCAGGTTATAAAATGTCACTTTTCATAAATTACTTTTTCCCGTGGGAAAAAAGTGAGTACTTTTTTCCCGGATATATATCACATATAAATACACTGTTGAAGGCCATAGTTCCGAAAAATGAGTCAATAATACCGTCTCCGAGAAAGAACTGCAACTCCTTTCATCTTCCATTCTACTTCGCGGTTAGGTACGTATATTACTAAACAACCACTAAATTCGCAATTTTTTCAAATCAAATCACAGAATTAGACTGACAGAAATGACATCAGATATTTGATTACTTCAGAAGAATGATAAAGATGCCTACAACGCAGGTGTCCCTACCGTTAAAAACTTAAAATTTCACGTCGATAATTTCCAGATTTCAAAATAATGTAATATCTTGTCAATATTGATTCGTCCTTTCCCCTGTCACAGAAGAAAATATTGTATTATACACGGGAAAAATATTAGATTTCAGCTCACACAACCTGGAGCTAAAATCTACAACTTTTTTTCCCTTGAATAATAAATAACTATATTTGGATTTGCTCTATTTTCAGATACATCCCTCAGAACTTGAACCTGGACACCAAGTTGAAACCTTTCATCTCAGAATTTTTGCCTGCAGTTGGAGATATTGATGCTTTTTTGAAGGTAGTACCCCCAGAGAAAACTCTTACTGGGGAAAAATGCGGTCCAGAACAGTTTTCGCATTTAGGTTTGAAAGTTCTTGATGAGCCAGCCACCCATCAGAGTGATCCTGCTCTTCTCTACCTACAACTGAGAGCAACTTCTGTGACCCCTGGCAAGAAAAATGATGGAAATGCGGTGAGTAAACCATGATATACCGGGTTACTCTTCGAACAACCAACCTCCTTATATTCAAATACACCTTCATACACCACCCTTGTTATTTCCTATTACTAAACCAATTACAATTTTTTTCGCCCAACCTGTATTTAGTAGGTACCTACTCTACATGATCTACATTACTAAGTTTTCAATCTTCCAATGTGAATTTACACTATGATCGATTGAAAGTGTAAAAAAAAAACAGTTTGGTATATTGCAACAAGTGACGTTGCTGTGGTGAATATTTTCATTCCGGTATACAGGATGCAATAATGGCAAGAAGTTTTTTCTCGACATCTGTACTATCACTTTGTGGAGTGCAGCAGCTACAACAGAAGTGTCGTCAGCTTGAATCAAATTGTAGCCCCAATTATTGTATTTCAATTCGTATTATTATCTGTCAATAAAGAAGTTACCTGTTTAGGACGGTGATATGAAAAGTAGTTGAATACGTTCTATCTAGATACTGATAATAAATTGTAGTTAAAAAAATTGAAGAAACACACTGCGGAGGTACCAATATTTTCTAGGTTCTGTATTTACACATTTTTTTTTATTTTGGCTATCTATGAAAGCGTGTTTCTTTTCGATTTTTAAACTACAATTTATTTTATATTCTTCAATTCGGCTGACTACAAGAGCGTGCTTTCTATTTTTTTGTATCTAGTCTTTCCGGAAACTTTATTTGATACAAGTAGGTACTTGGTGCAAGACACTATCGTGCCTCTAGATGTAAAATTCGCTCATCCTGAAGATCCTGATCAGGATAATGGAATAAAACTATCAAGTTGTGCGAAGTTTCAATTCAATTCGACGTTTTGAATTGGGTTAAAATCACCCGTTTCTCTGGATGTAACTATATATTCCAGTACTTGGTATGAAGTATCTCTGGATAAAAAAAGCATGGTAAAAAGTTATTCGAAGGAATAAAAACGTACACCATTCACCATTTTATCAAGAAAAAAATCAATCGCTCATCTTGACCGTACAAACCAAGCTAATTAAAGCGTGGTAAATACACCTGAATTAAACCGAATTATCTGGAGTTAATCCCAGTGAGTCTCTATTGACTTGAGATCAGAACAGCAACAAGGCTAAACAATCGTTAGATACCCGTACCTAATACTTACTTCGTCTAGTATCCTGCATCAACATTGAGCTCAGATTAGGATAGCAAATTTAAATGCTCACAATCTAATGACCATTGCGCCTATCTGAAAGACGATGACTTCACGTCAGAGCTTAGACAATATTTGAATTTTAGTGACTTTTATCCCACACAGCAGAAGATTATAAGTAAAAATGTATAGTAATGCCCCATTGCCATATTACCCCATATGCTATTATCAAGGAATAAACTATTTTATGCAATAAAGAAAAAATTTCAGTTTTAGCAACATAACATATATAAATTATGAAATCTAATGTCCCTTGAGCTGTAAGGGTACTTGGTACTCGACCTGCAACGCAATCAGCACAATACATATATTCGATGAAGTACCCATTTTTCCGTGAACCCAATGATCACATCCCACACATTGCAAGCAATAACATTTCGGAATTTTTTATGAAAATTGTTTCCCCGGAATTGTGTACAACATTGTGTCTCATCCTACTACAATCCTGGCTCACTGGTTTCCATTGTAGGTTAGGTTAGGTTCAAACCTGAGTGGGCCAATGTCAGGCCCTCCACTGCGGCCAATGGCCCATTGTGGCTCACCCTATGGTTATATTTTCTCCACAGGGGCTCACAACTCGTGAGTATGGGAATGGTGAACCCGAGGTACCCTAGCCGGATATTCACCATACTTCAACTTGTCTTGGGTGATATCCTCTTCTCTCTTCCTTTTTCAATCTATCTATCGGCCTTTCCTGGCTAACTTCTCTTTTCCTCCTCCCCTCCAAGCCCAACCTCACCATCAAGTGAGGTGGGGAGGACAGACCGCGGCCGCTCGACGGATGAAGCATTTTGGGACCATCTTTGCTATCTCCGGGCCAGATGGGACAATTTGTGGACATCTGTGGCAGGGATGGAGCGATTTGCTGATGTCTGTCCAGGTGGCCGAGGACTGGTCAACGAGTCTCTGGCAACCTAATCCAAGCTGTGGGAACCCGTGGTGATGGATGAATGGCACCGAGATATGGTGTCGTTAACGGGGTCTCTGGGAAACAGGGCGACATCTCAGAGTAAGTAGCCTTAGCCCTGTGCAGGGGGCACCACAGGGCTGGACCAACCCCTTCCCTCGTCACTCGTAGGAGAAGGAAAACTTTTGGCCTTCTTCGTAGACGAGAAAAGGGCTCGGAAAAGTAATCTTCAGGAACCTGAACGGAAAGGGTCTTCCATATTGAAGTGGCCCTTAATAAGCACAATGAGTCGTATATGGTAAAATTGATAACGGCAAGATACAGTGGGCCGCTAGGCCTAAGTGTCGTCGGAGACTTCGGTCAGATGAGCCTACAAACGGGGTGGAGTGTTTAGTGGGTATATACAGGTTGATTCACGGTGGATGGCACATTAGACGTTTCTGGTGAACCAGACAACGGATCATTTTGAAAATTCAATGGAGGGCATATTCGGACATTCTCTAGCCAACTAAAATATTTTCGACAATGCGGTGTTGCCGCTTCTATTAGAAAGCAGTAGCAACTTCGATTTCTCAAATGGAACACTCTATATTTTATTGCATTTTTAGATTCTCCCTGAAGAGCAGATTTCATCGATGTATCACACTTGGGGTCTAGCGGAGATGATTACAGAGATATAGGGTGTGAAAAATCGACATTTTTCAACTTAAGGAATTTTTTTGGCCGAAACTATTCATTATTGGTCAAAACGGCTCACATGTCCCTATCTCAACTTTTGATCAATTATCTACTAACATTTAATTGAAACAAATACAGGGTGGTGCAGAATTCAGAATCTTGATCACCCGGTATATGTCCCAATTAAATATCAGTAGATAGTTAACCAAAAGTTGAGATAGGGACATGTAAGCCGTTTTGACCAATGATGAATAGTTTCGACACAAAAAAATCCTGAAGTTGAAAAATGTCGATTTTTCACACCCTATATCTCTGTAATCATTTCCGCTAGACCCCAAGTGTGATACATCGATAAAATCAGCTCTTCAGTGAGAATCTAAAAATGCAATAAAATACAGAGTGTTCCATTTGAAAAATCAAAGTTGATACTGCTTTCTAATAGAAGCAGCAACACCGCATTGTCGAAAATATTTTAGTTGGCTAGAGAATGTCCGAATATGCCCTCAATTGAATTTTCAAAATGATCCGTTGTCTGGTTCACCAGAAACGTCTAATGTGCCATCCACCGTGAATCAGCCTGTATATAATGATTATATTTCTCCCAGTATATCTAATCTCTTGGCGAAATTAAGGAATACGTTGGGAGAACAATTTATCAGGTTTTCTGACCCTACTGTTGTATTGCCAAATGTTGAAAATCTGATTCTGGCCGTTTCATCCTCCTCTATGCAAAGTCGGCACTCTGCATCTTGTGCAAGTCCGATTTCATGTATGTGGTGTTTGAGTTTGCAGTGGCCAGTGAGCAAACCTACTATAACTCTGAGATGTGCTCTACTGAGCTCTAGTAGTTCGTCAGAGTCCTGTTTGTTCCTTGTACAAGCAATGAATGCCTTGGAATGGAATACTCGAGTATTTTGTTGTCGGCCCAGGATGTTATGACATTCTTGGCTGTGCTATGTGCTATATCGTTACCGGTTCTGGCCCAGTGAACGATGTTTCGGACCTCCCTTTTGCTAGGACGTCCGCTATTTCGTTCCCATTCTGGGTTGTGCCAGTCGGCTTAAAGTTTCTCTGGAGTTCCATACTGCTCTGGATTTAAAGCAGTTGGATTCAAGTGCTTTCAGTGCTGCTTGACTATCTGAGAATATCTTTATTGTTTTTTGTGTATGGTGTCGATTTTATAGCTCCCTCGCACACATTTTAATGGCGTATACCTATTCCTGGAATATCGTAGCTAGTATACCCATACTGAATGAGCGTTTCACTACTGGGTTCATCACGTATATTCCGGCTCCGACGCCTTTCAAAGTTTTAGAGCCATCGGTATACCAACATCCATTTGCCCTACATAGGTTAGTTTCCATTTACATTGTGGGTACTTCTAATACCTGGTAAAGGTATTTCCCTGCTGCTCGGGGTATTATAGAGCAGTAAAAAAAATATGAGGCATAATACACCCCATATTTCATTTTATGACAGATAATATCCAAACACATATTCATCAAACGTATAACGGAGTGTTCCGCCAAAAAATAGTAGATTGTTTTATTAGGATCAAAAGTGACACTTTGTTTGACAAGCGAATTTTGCATTTGCGAGGCGGAGCGTTTAGCGAAGCCGAGCGAAAGCAAAATTTGCGAGTCGAACAAAGTCACTTTTGATCCGAATGAAACATGCTATTTTTTCTGCAACCGAAACAACTAACTCAAATAAACATGTGAAGTAACCACCAATGCCGTGCCATATGTATGCAATGCAACAAATATTGACAAATAATCCATGTGGTAAGAATATTCTACCTGCATTAACAGCAGGTTAGGTTTTCAAGGATGTTCGAATTGTAGTTTCAATATAAATACAACCACAGAGTGACATATTTGTGTATGGACTAGGTGCTCTAATGGCAAATACCGCACCAGTGCCAGCTATAGGAACAAGACGTGGAAAATATTAGGTTAGTGAGCATATCAACAATGATAATAGTGATTATTTATTCCTCTATTCCTATGAAGCTAAACAAAATCGTCGTTTGAGACAAAAAACTATTGCTTGCCGTGATTATTCAAAAACAAGTTATCCATCCAGAGAATAACGAATGAAATACAGATCAAGCAAGTATTTGAATCTTGAAGGCTTCACTGATCAAACAAAAATACTTAGCTGACATGTTTATAATTGCAATACTAAACTATAATAAGGTGTATTTATATCTCCAGCATGGGTATGAAATGCCAAATCTGCTGAAATCGGAAACAAATCAGGTATGCGTCTCAAATAACCAACCGTCACAACGTTGTTCATTCTTGATGACGTCCAGTACATCCTTTTTAGTTCCTAGGAGCTAAAGTTCAACTTTAGCTCCTAGGAACTAAAATTCAACTTTAGCTCCTAGGAACTAAATATGTTGCCTAGCAACATATCTATTTTTGTGTCAGTAATAGAAATGTCAATTTAATAGCTAATTTTGGTATGAAAATGGACGACTTTTGTGTCGGTTGCAGAAAAAAGTATGTTTATGAATCAACATTTGGCATCCTTCTATAAAAATTGACCGAATCTACCTAGAACTTCTAACACCACAATATATATTTCAACATTAGAACATGTTCCACGGTTTTTATATTTATTGTTAGTTCGTCGTCTTTTGAATCAAAGATTCGTCTGATATGGTCGAAAAATACTTTTTATTCTATAAAAATCACTGACAAGTAAAGTCACAATCATCAAAGTATTTCGTCTTCTCTAATCAAAAGAAACATCATCTTGCATAGGGTGATTAAAATGATAGAAATAATACAGGGCGGTCAAACATTTATATTGCTGTTATTCACTGAAAAACTGATATTTTCGATTCTTCCATCATTCACTTGTGTTTTCTGTCTGAAACTAATATGGCTGAATGAACGTTGTTGACTTGGAACGGAAATATCAAACCGCTGCGTATCACCCAGCACGGCATATTCACCAAATTTACTCTACATGGTGCGATTACAGAAATTAAAGTCTCATCTCATAGACCTATAGCATTGGAACCCAGAGGTCTGAAGAATCCTCAAAAGGCACTAGCTTGGGAACGGGATGAGACAGTAGAAACTTCCACCGGATTGTGTATCGCTTTGTCTCAAAAGTATTCAATATTCACTGAAAGATCTTGAATTTGAAAGCAAACCATCTTCCTGAGTATTGACATGGGAGTTATATCATTCCTCAGAGCTTGTAAAATAAAACATGCTGTGTTTGTCAATGTTGGGAATTAGAAACTATTTCTGTTATTGGTGTATCTGGAAAATGATAGAAAGTTCATTACCTACATTATTAAAATACCTCCACTTGATACTGAGTCAGATAGGTGTACCTACATTTTACACGAATTCTGTTTAAGGTGGTCAAGAAAGTGGATAATACTGAACAAAATGCCAAAATAATCGAGAAGTGGATAAAGGATATATCTGATTTACACAAAACTAAATCATCTCCAGTAGTACGATACTCCGAGTAAGTATTCCTTGTAAAATATAATATAAATAAACTGAAATGGATACGAATATCTCATCATTTCAATCAATGAAGTTTATATAAACATAAGTCCGATCTCGCTCAGTTCTGGAGATATCAATTTGAAATTTAGTGAGTTTGATACTTCCTAGGTTATCGTTTAAAACATTTTGAAGATTTTAATTATCTACAGGATTATACGTTTTTGGGGTTATAGGCTTCTTTATCCGCCCAAAACTTTTTCGTAGTACGCCTCTGACATCTTCCAGTTACGGAATTGGATGAGTGTCAATTTAGAAGTTTCTTTAGATCTATGTTTCTTTGTTCCTGAATTTTTTTCGAGAAACGAATCGTTTTCGAGATAAATAAGAATATCCTTCCTAAAACATGTTTTAGCAATTTTGCCCAAGATTGCGCCAATGTTTCGCTTCAATAGTATTCTTGTCTTTTTTTTATCGCTTGGAGCGCACGGAAGGGAATCCCTATAATGTTCAAAGAACTAGGGAGGATAGGGACAGGAGGTAGGCATTGGAATTTTTTTTGAACTTCTGGAGATTATATGTTGTTGGGAATACTTCCACAGGCGATGAATTCCAGAGCCTAGCCGTTCTATGGATAGGGGAGTCTTGATAAAGTGCTGTTCGACATCTTACGAGGTTGACAACGAAAGGATGTGCTGACTGGGCTTGTCTGGTTCGTTTGATTGGTATTGCTAGTGAAGGGATGATAGCAGAGATTTCCGAAGAACATTTTCCGTGGAAGTATCGATAGGAGAGTGAAAGGTCGCCGACCTTTTTACGGTGTTCCAATGATGTCAAAGAGTGAGTGAGTGTGGCGTCACCCACCAGGCGAATGGCTCTTCTCTGAATAGAATCTGAGAGCATCAGCGTATGTCTTGGTGCTGAACCCCATATGTGGGAACAGTATTCTAGAACAGGCCGTATCTGCGCTTTGTAGATCATGAGAAGCTGTTGAGGTGTAAAGTAGCTTTTCGCACGGAACAAGAATCCGAGTTTTTGTGAAGCAGCTTTTGCGATGGATCTGACATGATTATACCATGAAAGAGTGTTGCTGATGGAAATACCGAGCATAGATATGCTGGGCTTGGTGGGGATGGTGGAGCCAGACATTACAATATCGGGCTGAGTTCCGCCTTTCTAGAGAAAATACAGGCTTGAGTTGTGGCGGAGTTGAATTCAACTAGGTTGTTGGTTCCCCAGGCTGTGATCTCAGCAAGATCTTCATTGACAGTATTGACCTGCCTGCGCCGTGAGTTCTTAGTTTCCTGGGAAGAAATGGGAATTCTGGAAGAGAACGCGGTATGGAGGGTACTATCATCTGCAAAGCTGTGGATGGGGCAAGTTGTTACTCCCAACAGATCATTGATATGAAGAAGGAATAATGTTGGTGCCGAAATTGATCCTTGTGGAACGCCGGAATTGATGCCAATGGTATCAGACGATACACCGTCCACCACCACGTGAAGCGATCTGCCTGAAAGAAAACTCGATAAGAGATGGCATAGCTGAGGTGGTAAGCCGTATGATGGTAGTTTGTGGAGGAGTCCTTTGTGCCAAACACGGTCGAATGCTTTCGATATGTCCAACGCGACAGCTAGAGATTCCCCATGTTTTTTTAATGAAGCTAAATGGGTGACGTAGGCAAGTAGATCTCCAGTAGATTTTCGGTGGCCAAAGCCGTATTGTCTATCATTGATGATTCCTGAGCTCTCCAGATATTTGATAAGCTCAATGTTGATGGATTTCTCCATCACTTTGGAGATAACTGATAACAGGGCAATGGACCTGTAGTTGTTGGGCTGGTTCTTGTTCCTTTTTTTGGGGATTGGTTGGACTCTAGCTATCTTACAGCATGATGGAAAAATACTCGACCTGTACGAGACGGTGAACAACTTGCAGAGAATCGGTGTTAATTCTGGTGCACATTTTTTGAGGATAATGGGTGGAATTGCATCAGGGCCGTTAGCCTTATTCGTTTTGAGACCAAGCAAAATTCGTCTGATAGTGCGTTGACGGAAGACGATTTCGGGCATTCGACTCTCAACGGGTGGAATGTCTGGCGGTACTTTTCCTTGGGAATCTATAGTAGAGTTTGCTGCGAACATCTTTGTAAAAATATTTGCTTTCTCCTGCGATGTTGTTGCTAATGTGCCGTCGAATTTGTTACTTCTTATTAGTGAAATTTCTTCCGACTTAGCAACGGACCAAAACGAACGGGAGCCATTGGGGCAATCTATGAGTTTCGATTTTATCTTGGCATTGTATGTTTCTTTCGAAGCATCTATTGTGTGGCTGCAGTTATTCCTGACATCAACGTATTCTGCTCTAGTCGCGAGGTTAGGGTTTTTGCGCCAGCGATGGTAGGCTGTTTGTTTCAAGGCAACTGTTCTAGAACAGTTTTTGTTGAACCAGGGTTTGGAAGGTGATTATCTTTTCGAAGAATGAGGTATGTATGTGTCCATTCCGAGCATGATGATCTCGGATATTTCCGCAGCACACTGTGAAGGGTCCTCAGAGTCAAAGCATACTCTATGCCAGAGAAACTCGGAGAAAACATGTCTATTGAAATGCAATCAGATATTTTCGAATCGCGATGCTTTCAAGCATCAGTCCAATCTAGATCAGTAGCGGGAATTTAGAGAGAGTAGAAGGTCAAGTTTTTTCAAACGACGAAACCAAAATCCAACGACGCGAAAAATTTGTGTTGAGGCACTGGTTAAGCCCCATCCAGTTGTATCCATATTTATTGTCTTATATTTAGACTAATATCATTGAAAATATAAAAACAATATGGCATTCAACATATCGGGAAGAAAGTACGATCCACAAATGACATTAGGTAATAATTAAGCCACATGTGAAAGTCATGTTGATTCACCACCCTTCTTCTGGTGGATGTGGCTGTATCAGTCCACAAAATTTCTTCAAGCTATTCGTCACGTAAACTGCATCTTGTCCAAGAATGAAATTTAACCGAAACATAGACAAAATTGCCATGTTTATTCATCTCGAAAATGATTCGTTTCACGAAAAAAAATTTAGTGTAGAAAAAGCCTCTGAATTCAATGATCCACCCAATTAGGTGCTTGAAATGATGACCTTCTAGAAAGTATTGACCAATGTCAAAATGATGTCTCCAATAGTGAGGAAGATATTTAAATTAATAGACAAAAATAATTGAACTTTGACCCCCTGTAGTTCCGCTAGTTATCGAAATTGAACTCATGTTTATACAGGGTGTCCGCTAAAAGGAGGTCAATCCATCAACCATATATTCCTTGAACAAAAACAATATGAGTTTTTAAATACCATTCTTCATTTTAGCTCTTCATATTCGAAATACAGAGTGTCAAAGTCGGAAATCAAAATCTGTTTTTTTCCAATTACTCGCGTATTTATTAAGATATTAATCGCAAAATTGGCACATTACTTCAGCACAAAGAGTTACATCGTGTGAGAAAAAGATAACAGCAAATTACTGTCAAATATTCAAAATTCTGGGGGTCAAGTACACACCCCCATATTTTTTTTTGTACGTGCGCTAATGACTTCCTATATATTCTTCTTCAAGTGTTCAAACATTTTTCAGTTTTTCTTGTCTCTTGTGAAATTTCGATAAAATCATTTGTTTTTAAGATAATTCGAAAAGTACTGGTTATTGTTTGATGCCTATGTGGCTTACGATAATCTCATAATGTTCACATAGTCCTATTTATTTCGTCAAAATTGGAAGAGGACGTAACCTTTTACGTACGAAAAGGAAAATATGGGAATACCGGGTGCTCAAAGCGAATGTATTAAAATAATTTTTACAAAAAAAAATAGAAATTCAACACGTCTAAATGAATTTCTCGATATGACCTCCAATTTTTTTAATAAAATCTCAGCATATGGAAAATATTTGGCTTATACACGAAATCTTTCATACATCCCCCGACAATCCTGATCTGCTATTTCTTTCATCAAGTAGCTATTCAAATCATGGATATCATAATTTCACCGAAAATATTTTTTTTCATTTTTTCCGATTTTATTTCCCGTTCGTTTACGCACGACATACGGGGGAGGGCTCGAAAATATTTTTAAAAAATTCCGCAACCCCCAAAACCGCGCAAACCGATTTAAAAAAAAAATTAAAAATTTGCGGTTCTCGAAAAAAATCAATTTAATGATTCTTTGAAATGGTGGGCTCGTCAATCGACTCCTCCATCTTCCTAAAATCATTATTTTCACAAAATTCTTTATTTAAATCAATTAAAAGGGCTCGCATGTGTATTCAAAAGGTTGGAGGTCATATCGAGCAACCCTTTTTTTTTAGACGTGTTGAATTTCTATCATTTTTTTTTTGTAAAAATTATTTCAGTACATTCGCTCTGAGCACTCGGTATTTCCATATTTAACTTTTCGTACGTGAAAAGTTACGCCCTCTTCCAATTACGATGAAATAAATAGGACTATGTGAACATTATGAGATAACCGTAAGCCGCATAGGCATCAAACAATTACCAGTATTTTTCGAATTATCTTAAAAACGAATAATTTTATCGAAATTTTACAAGAGACAAAAAATACTCAAAAATGATTGAACACTTGAAGAAAAATAGATAGGAAGTCATTAGCGCACGTACAAAAAATTATGGGGGTGTGTACTTGACCCCCAGTTTTTTGAATATTTGACAGTTATTTTCTGTTTTGTTCTCCTCAAACGATGTAACTCTTCGTGCTCAAGTAATGTACCAATTTTGAGATTATTATCTCAATAAATACGCGAGTAATTAAAAAAAAAACAGTTTTTAATTTCCAACTTTGATCGAATATGAAGGGCTACAATGAAAAATGGTATTTAGAAACTCATATTGTTTTTGTTCAAGGAATATATGGTTAATGAATTGACCTCCTTTTAGCGGACACCCTGTATAAACTGTTTTCATTAAAATGATGGGATCTATCACCCATTTCAGTTTGTACATAGATTAATTACCTTGTAACTTGAATCACCCTGTATAGCCAAAAGGCTCTTCCATTCACCAAGAGTAGTGTGACTGCTAGTTGGAATGACATGTTTGAAAACATTTGAAGAGGCGAGTGAAAGAAGAGGTCAAGTAACTTTTTCTGACAATATTCGTTTATTTCATGGAAAAGGTGTAAGGTGCATATGTATTTTGCCCTGTTAGGATTTGTTTCGATTTCTAATATCTGGTCGAATTTACAGTGGTAGATGGGGCTATGTTACATCAATCATCGCAATGGAGGAAGGAGCTATGAGCCCATTGCCTACATGTCAGGTAATAGAAGAAGGGGTTATGTACGCATAAATCCAGATGTCTATCAATAAATGATATGACAGCAAAATTTTGTTAATCACAAGAAATCAACCTAAAACTATTCCTCACAATTGCATGAATTAAATTATTGAACTGGCTCCCATTAAAAATGCCAGATTACTTTGCTAAAACCTATTTTTCTCGTAAACTCATATTTCTAACATAATTTCGAATTCTTCCACTTGACCCTTCATTTGTTCTCCGTCACACTCATTATTGGGGAAAATGGAAGAGTGTTTCGCATATATATTTCTGTAGACTGAAGATTATTCTGTATTTTCGAAATTAGGTAAAAAAAAGTGTCTCCAAACGAAGAATTGGGTATTTATTGGAAATATGTTTGGTACGAAAGATATTGAATTCATTCCATTTAGCTGTTACATACACACCCCATCAGAGTTGGTTTTAGTAGTTTTTATTTTCTTGTCCATAATATTTCGAAATGAATCGTTTGTGATAGATATTCACGATACAAAGTACCGTAAACACTCATATTATGATATGAGATGGAAAATTTGTCAAACGAGTTTGATAACCCATCGATTATCATAATATGAATTTAAGATGCGAATATAGTACAGTATTTTACCTACTACCTGAAATGCTAATTATTCAATCAAATATAATCAATATTCCTTGAATCAAAGATTTATTAGGAAAATGAAACAAGGAAGCGTTGCAATGGTTGGGTTGGCTTTACTCCACGGTGTATACTTGTCGTGAATCTGTTATATTCTTAGTTGTCACTCATTCCGTGACCTGGAACTTCGATATGCGTTCATTTCAATGTTGGAAAAAAATCATCGACATGGATTCTTATCACGAAAGTAAAAATACAAATATAGAAATTGCGGCGAATGAAGCTATTCAAACTCTAGTACCTACCCAATTTATGATTAATTAGTTCTTATATTTTTTTTTTTTGAGTAAAAAATCTGGAATTTGAAAGTATTTCTCATTACTTTATCGCACAAGTGCGATAAAGTATCTCATTACGAAACTGAAATCAGTGTAAGGTTTTCTGAATGTAATTCACATTTTGACAAGAAAATACCCTGTATTTCATCGTATTAAGAAAAATATTCTCGTACAGAAGAAAATAAAAAAACTTGACTTGAAAAATAATAAGTGACTGTTGGTGACGTTACAATTAGAGCTGATAAAAAGAATGATCAGAGCCTACTCATAGTATCTGATGGATTATTTCATTTGCATTATTCGCGGTCGCCAAGGTAATTAGATGACGTTGCAATGAGATGTCATTCAAATGTGTGTCCGTTACATCCTAAATCCTGCCATAGATTGAAAGTTAGACATGTTTTCCCGAAGTTTTCGATGTCAACGCAACGTCATCTAATGACCTTGGCGACTGCTAACTGTTTTTCAAAATTGGATAGTCAATAGTGGCATAGCGGCGCTATGACTTGGGGCGTTTTTTTTCTGAGTCAGTCAGTGTGTTCAAAGCCCCTAATTATGGAGATGCAATTCTTGAACGTCAAACTCTTAAAAATTAAACATTTCGTATTTGTAGCAAAATGTCATAATATATGGTTTCTCAACACTATCAGGATGTGTCATCTCAATTTTTCATCAAACACTATAAGCGATGTGATGAATTGCCTCGAGAATCACAGAAAACCCCATTTTCGGGCTCATCTTGCATCACACTTCTACGTATTCTAAGCTATGAAACCGCATCCTACAGTATCAAAACCTGTACATTGGACACGTATCCTGAGTAACTTTTATTTTTCAGGCCTATGCCTGAACTAGATGACCTAATGCAGGAATGGTCTGAAGAGATGGAAAGTAAATTGAAAAGCGAAGGGTTTCCGGAACCAAACGACATGTCCCTATCAGAGTATATCGATACGCTTTGTAATCTGTTCCAAATACCATCAGCTAAGAAGAAGATCCATTCGATTCATCTGCTATTGTGTTTGTACGCGGCAATCAAACAAACGCAGTTCTACCGAGCAACATCGGTTGTTTCCAGTGAAAAATCAACGAACGCCTCCACGAATCCAAAACAAGAAGCTGATCAGTTGGTTTTGGAATGACTGATTGGAATGTAATAGAATTAGCGTTCAATTTCGAATAAAGCAGTGGAATTTTAGGATGACTATAAACTCTTTTGAAATCACATAGCATCACTCGTTTGAATCTTTGTACTCCTCATAGTTTTTTATACCATTGGATGAGCAAAAGCAGCATTCCAAGAATATTGCAAATTTTATCAAAAAATATTTAAAAACTACCATATAAAAAGATATAACACATGTACGTTCTAAGAACGTTCGCAGGACTTCGACCTGGGACAATCGGGACGGAGAAATATAATTTTATTTACATAAATAAAATCATATTTTTCACAAAATCCCTTCAGAGCTGCTATAAAAAGTGAATAATATTTTTTTAATGGAAATGAAATCATATTTTTCATGTCATGAACATAAGATGATTTTTTTTTCAAAGAAAACAAATTCAACATACGCCAAGCATATATTAGAAGAGAACCATAGTATTGATGATGAATCTCAAAAAATTCTGACATTTTAGTTTACGATCAAGTAGACCTCAATAGTTCACCACTGGTGAATTTGTTTCTTAGTAGGTAATAATATGTATATTCTATAAACCCTTTCAAGTTAATCCGATACAACGTATTTCAATGTAGATATTGTGCCTAATTTCCGAAAATGAAGGTTTATCGAACCTGTCAGTTAACCAATCCTTCAGGTTGGGAAAGTAGAATATATAAAAGTTAGACGAGCCAAGGTTAGTTCAGTTTATTGTACCAGCATTTCACCTGATGAAGCTACTGTGTTAGCGGGTGATGAAAAAATAAAATTCTACTGTATAGGGGGATTCGATGTACAAAATAGAACATTGTTTTAGTAAGATTAAAGGTGACACTTTGTTTGACAAGCGAAATTTGCTTGTGCGAGACGAAGCAATAAGTTAATGTCTTTGTCTTTCATGGTTGAGTTCACATATCAACCTCAATCCCATACCACTGAACTGAACAGAGGGCTATTCCTGACACTCCTTATTATTCTTAAATATTTTAAGGTTCTCACATGCATCTAATTTCCTACCAACTTCAGTTTGTATTGGCAGAACAATCATACATCCTGTATCAACTCCGTAGATTCAGTAATCATTATTTTAGTGCTACATGATGTCATTGTCAATTGTTCAATAAATAAAATAACTTTTGTCCACGACTGTTGTATAAAATATTCATAATACATGTACTTCCTCAAGCAAAACGATAGCCATTTTCCACACCAGTGAATAATAGCGGTGAATAATCATTATTCACTGGTCTAGAGTTCGTAGGGTACACGATAAATGTTTTGTATTAAGCAAGCATTTATCAGTACACGTTCAGGCTATATCTAGGTACATTAATTAGCTAACTTCATACGAATCATATTCAAATATATAGAAATCTTGATATACCTCCTCAGTATTACATTATTCCTCTCTTTATAATGTATGTATACTTGGAATAAGATGTTAGTATCAAATAGGGTATATCAAGATGATATACGGAAGCCATTGACATGTATGAACATGACAAGATAATCATAAATAGTTGTCATTGTTGAAACGTCAAATTTCGACGACACGCGGTGTTTCAGTTATAATTCCTAAAAAATGGATATTGATAGTGATGAAGAGATATTGTGTACTCCACCAGAGATAATAGAAGCTGCAAAAGTCACGTCAATGAATTCGTTGCCGGAGAACTCCCGAAATCTGTATGCATCTGTGTACAACACCTGCATGAACTGGAGGGCGTCTAAGAAAATTCATTCATTCTCAGAGTCAGAGTCTTACTGGTATATTTCACGGAATTAGCTGCAAAATATAAGCCATCCACATTATGGACACATCACTCGATGCTTATGCTTAATATAAATCAAGGAGTCAATATAAAAAACACTTCAGGCATATGTGATGAAAAATATCTTGCAATGAAGGTAAGACATGAAAAAAACTTGCTTAACTAGTATTTATGAAATAAAATTCATCCTTATCAGGTCACAATGATAATAGGAATAATGGGTGCAATTTGAATAAATAGGCCCATAATAGTCTTAGAAAGAATTAATATAACATACGCTTCAATTTTCAGTTTTCCTAATGTCAAATAAGTTATGATAAAACAGTGTTGTTGAAAATAAATTCATATATCAAGAACAATATAGTAGTCGTGGACAAAGTATAGTATTCTACTCGCATATAATGAGCTATTATTCACTAAGGTTAATTATGCCACTCGCTACGCTCGTGACATAAACTTAACCTTCGTGAATAATAGCCCTCATTATATGCTTGTTGAATAATATACTATTCAATCACTGTCTTCAGAAATATAAAATATCATTTTTATCCATTGAAGACGTAACAGTTTTGGCGACGAGGAATCAAGAAAATTCAGGGGGAAGATATAGGAGAGCAGCTGACACTGTTCCTGTCAACGTATCGTTCCACCCCGAATAGAAGTGCACCATATGGAAGATCGCCAGCTGAGCTTCTACTAGGACATCCAGTGCGCACCACTTTAGATCTGATCAAACCACCTCGGTGCAAGCAAGATATTTGTGATGGTACTACTGGGAAGAAACAAGATCTCCAATTTGATCAGAAACATGGTGTGAGATTCAGGGAATATTCAGCAAAAGATTTAGTCTACGCCAAAGTTTACAGAAACAACACATACCACTGGTCTCCTGGAGAAATTATTGAGAAGATTGGCAACGTGATGTATAATGTCCTTCTTGAAACAAGTAGAGGAGGTAACCTCATAAGATCACATGCAAATCAACTTCGTTCACGTAGTGAACAACTTGAAACACTACCATCCTGTGAACCAACTAGAATTCCGTTGAATATTCTCATCGAATCATTCGGTTCACAAAATCGTGATGATAACCAGGAATGTAACGACGAAAATACCGGCAGAACTCTCAATAAACCATCAGACAGTGCTGCAAAGACTTTTCCAAGTGAATCGGTCGATTATTGGAAGAACCTGTTCAGCATGATGATCGAGGAGTTCAAGATGTTGAACAAGATCAACCAAGTGAACAGGGACCATCTAGCGAGAGAGTTAATACCCAGCCACTTCATATGCGGTCAATCAGAGTACGTCGATCTCCTAGGATGTTAGAAGACTACAGTCTCTGTGATCATTTCCGCTAGACCCCAAGTGTGATGTATGGATGAAATCAGCTCTTCAGAGAGAATCTGAAGATGCAATAAAATCCAGGGTGTTCCATTTAAAATAACAAAGTTGTTGCTACTTTTCGATAGAAGCGACAACGCCGCAGAGCTGAAAATATTTTAGATCGATAGATCTAGAGCAATTACTTGAGTAACCAAATTTTCAGAATGTACTTATGTCCCGTTCTCCGTAAACGTCTAAGGTGCCATCTACCGTGACCCACCCTGTATACTTGGGATTGAACAGGATTATGATTCTACTCGAATTGTTTCTATCCCCTTGAGAAGTTGTAGAATCCAGAAGGGTTAACTTGAAATTATGTCTACGAATTGAATTATCTACTATTTTGATATCATATGATCATTGACGCCAGCCACTTTATCATCAACACTTCTTCCAACATCGAATCTGTCTTTGTTTAGAGGAAATGAAACTAATCTATGTGATAGAAAATTCAAATTTGTAATTTTTTGTTAAAAACAGTGATTAGAGTCATTGATTTTGTATCTGAGTGTGTTAATTCAGTTTTTGAAAACATCAAATTCCAAGTTTTCTTCCCATTTCTGATCACATGAACTTCTAAGAACGCGACCGTTATTCTTGCTATCAAAAGTGAATTTGATAGAGGAGAAAGTAGTTGTTCAATCTCTCTATCTGTGTTGGTATAACTATCTTATTATCCTTAAATATTACTTGGGTTTCATATGCATCTATTTTTATAACATTATTAACTTGCTTGATTACTTTGAGGTTATTAATTGATTGATATTGAAAATGTGTTCGGATACACTGGATTTATATATCCAACCTTACATAGCACAGAGATGCTCTTTGAACTTTGTTTTTATTGGTCGCCTAGTTGAGTGCGTAGCGCGATGCCCAATTCCCACAATATGCTCAATTTACACCATACCCACCTTCATGTCGAATAAGATAATGAAAATTGCCGAAGAGCGCAACGTTAATCGTACATACGCTATTTTCATGTGAATTCGTTTTTTCGGTGATATGCAGAGTTTCAATTTTCTATTACCTACCGTTGGATAGCCCATAAGCTATGAGCTATCATAAATTCAAATTTTCGAATGATTCGTTTACAGAAATTCATAGATTCTGTATTATTTTTTCAATATTCATTAGAAAACTGTCGAGTTTTTTGAAAGAAACATTCAAAAATGAAGATTTATGGTACCTACCTCATAGCTTCGGACTATTCGAAGGTAACAAGAATAAAATGAAAAATCCAAGTCTGTATATTGAAAAACAGCTGATGATGCTTTCTGGAAGATGGAAGGTCAGATTTGGCATTTGAAAACCCCAACTTGTATGATGAAGTGTCATCATTTCGATAAACTTCAAATAACTGAAAATAAATGGAGGTTTCGAAAAATGTAGTTTTTTCCGGATATCTCCGAAAGTATTCGGGATTTTCCAAGTTTTGAAACAGAGTTCTGTCGAGCATGATATTGCACCAAATCAACCGACACTGCATCTCTAACAGTCAACGAAATTCCAATGATGAGGCCACCCTGAATACATAGTTGTATATTTTCAATATTGAGAAACACGTTCTATCATTCAGGATCTCAAACGTAGGATCATCACATTTCAAAGTCGTTTAATAACCAAATATCGATTCAAATTAAATATTGAAATCGTTTGAAGAATTCGAATATCAATTGATGATCTTTCACACACAGACACGTATGGGGGCGGCTCAGAATAACCTCCCATGGTAAATCCTGCCTGTCGTAAAAGGCAACTAAAAGGATAACTTTATGTGGTAGATGGTCTCATCGCCCAGTGAAATACCACCATATCGACTTTGTGTGCTGTGAAACAGATCACTCCATGTTTCAGTGTTCAGTCG